TTTAAATCACCAAGATTTTGACTGGTGTTTGCTGTGGTGTTCTCATCACCCGAGAACACACAAGGGCAGCTTTCGTGGAAATGCACCATACATTTCTACAGCAAAAATTAACTGAAATAAAACTGTATGGTTCGCGTGATATGAGCTAAATGAGCAGTCTTGGTGTAAATAAAGCATATTCCTCTCTGGGAAATGAATGAAGGAAGTACATTCATTCCACGTTGACAATGGCCCGATCGCAGGATCTGAACTTGATGCAGAAAAGCAACAGCTGTGTTCACAAAGTAGTCGCTGGTGGCTAACAATAATAATAATAATACAAATGTATAAATGGTAAAAGCTTGTTTGAGAATGGTACCCTGTAGTATCTGGCTGAATATAATCTGACAGCAGGTAACGTTAGCTCGGATCCAGCTAGTGACAGCAGATCCCTAGCGCTAGCTTGTGAAGCTAGTTAACGTCAGCAATGTATGCACACTGTACGTCGCTAATTCAGCTGAAATTTGACTCAGTAGAGTAAACACATGATTCATTTATTCGATTACAGCACCTGCATTTAACGTTAACTATGTCAGTCTAATGTAAAGCAACGCCTGCTGTTCCTCTTCTTTCGCTCTTGGAGAGGAGAAGCTAGCGAACTGATAGCTAGCTAACTGATAGCTAGCTTTAGCTACCAGCCAGGTTAGCCAATGTTATGATAAATGCTAGGCCCGATAAAAGGCAGCAAAATTATCTTGGTTTTCGACTGTCACTCACCATTTTGGTCTCTCTCTACGGTGCGACGATCTTCAGTCTCTCGTGTTTGTTGCTTCGGTGATTTGTAGTCACTCCGGAATAGCAAGGTGCGAACGTACAGCTGACTTCAAGTTGTGTGATTGTTAGTTAGCAATATGGCAGCAGCACAGAGCCACGTCTCCACCGGAAGAGCAGCGCTGGATCAGCCCACCGTGGAAACCAGTGACGTGGGCCCCAAAATGTTGGCCTGGTTGCATAAACACGGTACGAGGAGCACCTCCACGGCTTTTATTCTTCTCATTTAGAGCTCAGCGATGGTGCCAGACACACAAGACTTCCACATCTGTGCCCCGTAACAAACGGCTGCAGGCAGTGAAGAAGCAGGTGCTGAACTTTAATGTCACACATCATAATAAAGTTTATTATCATGACGGGATCGAACAGATTCTAAAATATGTATGATCAGATGGATGGGATGGGCTTTATTAACAGTTAACTTTTTGTATTTCCTACAAAATGTCATCATTTAAAGCGTGAAAGGGTTTTTATTCATTACTATACTATCAGGGTAAAGTGGAGTAAGACCCTTCAGAATCATATGAAGTACAAAACAAAACAAACTATTAAGAACAAAAAAGAAAAAGACATATGTCCTTTTCTTTTTTGTTCCTAATAGTTTGTACTTGAAAATTCACAAAATGAATGGAATGGGTCAAAAAAAAAAAAACCTTATGGGAACATTTGCAGAGCATTCCCTCAGGACACAAAGGAGATGCTGCTCTGCTCTGCATCACTTACCTTAGGAGTGATTTTGATCAATACAAACTTAAGCATAAGACTAACTTTATTGTAAAAAAAAAAAAATAAAACAAATATAAATAAACTTGTATTGCTCTCACTTAAACTGCAGCATAAACATTAGGTAACACATACAGAAATGATGCCTGTTTTTTTTTTTTTTTTTTTTTTTAAATGGTTTGATTATTCATCTAGAACTGAACCGGGCCTCGGACAAAAGCTGTAAGTTTAATACAATTTTATTATATGGTTGATGTTTAACAAGGTCAAATCACCAGCAATGTTTGGCCTCCAATAGCCAGACATTCATAGGGCGGATATCTTCCCTCAAAGTCCATCCTCCTACATTTTTACATATCACCAAAATAATAATAATGATTCATGACTGTAATGTACACAGTAAAAAAAAAAAAAAAGGTTTGTGCATATATTTTCTTTAAATAAACACATTTTCTACAGTCAGAATATGACATCAACATTCCTCCAAACCACATCTTTTGATTTCCTCCCATCCGTAAAATTACTTTAATGATATTTCATGATTAGTAAAAACAACGTCATCCAAGAACAGACCTGATATGAAGCTGACTGTATCTATAATGGACAGCAGTAGAACTTTTTTTGTATTCCTAATCTTATCATGTTGGGTTATCCCTCCCTAATATGCATCCAAGTATGTGTCGTAAACGCTGTGTAACATGTGAATATTTGGTCTTTAGAGACGTCGACTCTCTATGTAATACAGAACCGAACTACAGCTATTTATTAGTGAATTTATTAACCATCAACCATTAAATTAACTACCAACTATTCTGATGATCGATTAACCAGTTTGAGTATTTTTTTAAGGTTTACAGGTTCTTAAATGTGAGCGTTTTCTGGCTTCCTTCCTCCTCTATGATGTTAAACTGAATGTCGTCAGTTTGTGGACAAAACAACAAGACAACAGGATGTCAGCTTGAGCGTTGGGAAACACTGATCAACACGTTTCGCTTTTAATTTATAGACCAAACAACTAATCAATGAATCAAGAAGAAAAAACAATTAATCAGCAATTAAAATAATCAGAAGTCACAGCTCTTATACAGAATATCGTGTGACTGCATTTTTGCAATGCATGTACATTTTACATGTTGCTATTTAAAATGTAATTTAAAACCTAAATATGAATTTAATAAGACGTCCACTGTGAACTGCACAATGATTCATAAAATAATACATTTTAAAACAGAATAAACACATTGCATTAAAATCTTTGGAAAATATATTTTTACAAACAGTTATAATTTTCCTACATAATGTTTGAGTGTTTAATTCACAAATGTAATTATTTGTGTGATTAGAGGACAAGCGTGAATTATCTAGTGCATGAAAAATGATAAAGCATGAGGTAAACGATTGACGTATAGATTACAATCAGATTTTGTCATGAACACACAAGGAGACACGGTCATCAATAATGAGATTGAATATCTCATAACACATTTCAGACTGGTTGCACATCAAGTGTTACTGTATGATTTTTCAGTTTTTCAAAGTGTGTTTAAACATTAAAACTTCAGTCTTGATTCATTGCGTTTTTGAGAACTATTGAGAATGTCATTGCTCTTTATCAACCACAAAGAGGAACAAACTACAAAGTCAACGTTTCTCCTGAATTACAATATGTTGTTTCCTCAGATGTGCCGTTGGGTGACCTTGGAAGGTCCTTATCAAGACTGTATTGTAAAGTGAGCAGAAGTTCTTCTCATACAGTGTTTCGACAGTGCGACTCAAGATTGTGAGGCCCCATTTCAAAGACCGTCCTCGCATCAAAATCTAGCTGATTGTTATTTTTTTATTTAAGGTAATGTGTTGCATGAAATTAAATTCTCTAAATAGCAAACCAGAGGAGAGGTTATACTCCAGCAGAGAAAACATATAAGAGCTGTACGTGCTGCACAGGTGTTGTGTTTGTTGCTTTAATAAATCTTTAACACAGAAAACATTCTGAGATGTCACTCCATTGAGTTGCTTCAGTTTTGGGCTCTTGGTATTGCGTACGTGTTTATACAGTAAGTCAAGTAACCATTATTTATATAGCATATTTATTACAACAGCTGTGAAGCCAAAGTGCTTGGCAGTAGATTAATATAAGCAATTTACTGGTCAACCCTGTTCAGGACTTTCATGTTGCCATAAGTAGAAGGAAAGAATATGTGCAAAATATTTGTTGGTATTCATTATAGACTTGTATACTATGTTAATTACATTTTCTGATAAGTTGACAGATGTTGGTTCCAAATGCATGACAAATGTCCCTCTTTTTATGTTAAAAAAAAATCTTCAAAAATAAAAAAAACACCTGAACCAAATGGCCTGGGGTCCAAAAGAGCCCAAAAGTCCTGAATAGGGTTAATACCCAACAATACTATTTGTTATGTGAATTTATCTGAGTACTTTTAATATTGTGGTACATATAGCATGCAATATAATACAAATTCACCCGACTAAATGAAATGCTATGGATAAGAAATTACAGTATTACATACTTTATTTATTTTACTTGACCTTTATCTTACCAGGTAAGTTAGTGGAGAACTGGTTCTCATTTTTAATAACGACCTGATCAAGAGGCGGCATACAAACAAGATGAACAACAAAAACAGATGACATGTACAGACTTGTAAAACAGAGAGGCTAAAAACAGGTGAGGTGGTCCTGAAGTGTTACTCTAGCCGATACTCTAACAAATTACCCGACTAAGTTAATGTTAGGATCCCCCAATTATAGATGGAAAACTCTACGGATTCAAAAAATGAGGTTCCCAGCAGCTCATTCTATCCTCTGGCACCCCATACAGAATCCCTTTTAATGGTTTTAAAAAATAAAAAAAAGTAAACCTTGATAGTTGCACATGTTTCCGTCCTTTATTCTTGTTGTTACTATCAATCATCTCCATACAACCACAGAATGACAGTGGTGCAGTGACTCCTTTTAACCACCAGGTGTCACCACAGAGACATCATCAGGAACATAGAGCTGCACACAGTAGGAAGTGGAGGTGTTTCATGCCTTCAAACATTTTAAAAAAAATACTTTTCCTATTAATAATACATTTACTCCCCGTCCTTTCCCTTTCTTGTGGCATTATGTGACACTAACTCACTGGACAGGCACACTGAGGCGGGGCAGCTGACGCACAAGTCCAAAGTTGATATACAGGTTGTTCACTGAGGCCACATCATCAAGTCACGAGAAAATCTCACCTGTAATTGCATACATTCCGTAGTCATTGGCCGGTTTTATGCCTCATTATAGCTACAAAAAGCATACGCCTTATGTTTTACTCGTGTTTTGTCAACATGTGAGTGTTTATCATGAGTGTATTATACGCTCCGTACACACCCCGCAGGAGGAAGCCGGCAGACGGAACAAGGAAATGACCTCTAGCCGGTCCAATGACATCAGAGCTCCGGTTCATTCATATGGAGGCTGGTTGAGAGCAGCGCTCAGATTGCCTCTCAGGTTTCTCTGGGTTTTAATGGGCTCCGGCTACAGAAAAACGCGCTGTTGATTCGTACACTTTCGGCAGAGAAAATCGGACTAGCGACATGTCGGAGGAGGCAAGTTCTCCGGTAGGTTATTTTATTTCTTTTAATCAAACCGACCCGGTGGTTTGTACCGTTTCTGCATGCTGCACACCCACTGCACACACGTTCAGCATTTGTTCCGGTTGCGTCGTCATTTAGAGCGCGGTGATTGGCTGACGTTGATGTCAGTCAGCGGATTCTGCTTCTCTATTGGTCAGGAAAAAAGAGGGCAGCGGGCTGTCAAACCGCACAAGAGCAGCTAGTAAAAGCTAAAAGAAGGCTAAATGTGTCGTTTGGAGCTGAAACTGAGATTGAGCTGCTTTGTGTTTGACACTGTTGTTTAAAAAGCAGTCAAATGTACTATTCTAAATTATTTTAAGCTTCACAAATACCACCAAAGCAGTGACCGTGAGGCAAGATGCTGACAAAACTGTGTGTCCTTTTTTGCTAAACGTTGCGAGCCATAATGTGTAATAATGACACAGGAATAGATCAAGACAAGCGTTAATGTTTTTAGAGGTTAGATATGTTAGCGTTCGGCTAAGAAACCGATAAGTAATGTTGGGTACTTCAGTTAGTTTTATAGAATTCAATTTCACCTTTACTAAGTGGGTGGCCATGCTTTGCTTTGCTTTGCTTTGCTCCCGCCCACCACGAAGCGATGTAGCTGTTTAAACTTAGCAGCAGTTTTCGAAACACTTTTACAAGTTAAAAATATTATTTGACGAATATTTGTTCTCTGTCGCTGGTGCCGAATGGATGCTTATGGCCTACTCACGTCTGGTGCAATATATTGAGTGTTTTTATGGTGTGGTAATAATGCGCCGAGTAAAGAAACGCTAAATTAACAGATTTTTAAATGGAGTTACCAGATACACAAATGAGCACAGACTGCTTCAACAAAACAAAAAATGCTTTGAGTCTATGATCTAAAATAGAAAGAAAGTGACCTGTCCACAGAGAAATTGAATATGATGTCAAAGTAATCTGTAAATAGTGTTGTAATCTAGATATAATGGTCTAAATAGTCAAATATTGTAATAAACTATTGAAATTAGTACTGTTAGTATTATTATTATTATTATTATTATTATTATTGATGTGTTAAATTGTGTTCTGCTTTTTTAACACTAAAAATCCTAAATGTTTAATATTGTTGTCCATTTTAGAATAACTTTTATTTAAAATTTTCATTTTTTACTGTAGTATGTAGTATTGACCAATCACTGCTGATTAAATCTTCAGCCAATGACATGGCCCCAGCTTAGCCAAGGATGTTAAAGTGTCCAATAACAGTTTTGATAGTTTCGCATTTTTCTGTAGTAAAGTTTTTATTATGAGAATAAGTTTGTTTTCACATCTTGCCATTCAAGAACTTATTTCAACCTTGTGTGACTCAGATAACAGCAGTGAGAACTGTTATCTGAATTGACATTTTTCTTCGTGTTGTCCTCACTGGTGGAAACTATGTTCTTGGCTGCTGTCCATTCAGGACTAGGGTTCCCATATACAGTATGGTTAAGGCCACACCTTATAACCAGGACACTCCTTAGCTGCCCATCCCTGCCTTTTATAACGGACCCAATGAATTGGCACACTTATCTTTTAGCAGCAGAGCTATCTTGGGGTGGAGGTCCTCAAGGAGGAGGGGGGAGTCCGGTAAGAAAGACTACTGTTTAGTATCTAGAGGCTATATGACCTCAGCACAGCTCCTTACCAGGACACAGCAGGCAGTCCCAGACACACAGCGGACACAATAGCCTCCACAGTGCAGAAGCTCAGTCCGAACACACAGGATTATGGAGGAAGGACCTTACAAGTACATCAGGGTGAGGCGAGCAGAGACGACGCTTCAGCTCGGTCACAAACTCATCCCAGATGTGACTGGAAATGTGTTGGGGTGAAGAGGTTTGGCAGAAAGTGCGTTTTAACCCCCCTTGTCTGATTTGTTTTTTGTCCCGGCAGGATGGGAACGGCAAGGTTCGTCGGGTCATCCGGATCGGAACACGTAAGAGCCAGGTACAGTACAACATTTATTATCAGGAGCTTAACTTACATTATGTCCTTCAAACTCTGTGAGCAAGTGTGGGGGTTTGTTTGTCTTTAACATGGACTTCTCTGTAATCAAATTATGAAAAAGGCCTTACAGGGAACCAGAGGGGCAGTTATCTGTGAATTATCTGATGCACTGTTCCTCCATGCTGGGTCAGATACAACAGAACAAGATGTGCGCAGCTCCTTCTTGCAGAGATAATGCCTGTTCTTCCCCGTCTACACTAATTGGATGTTTGCTTGCGCTGTGTTTCTGACATTTTGAACGCCTAAACTAACTAAAACTAAGAGTGCAGTCCAGCTAACGCCAAATGTTCTTCTGTTGCAGCTGGCTCGCATCCAGACAGACAGCGTTGCCGACAAATTGAAAGAACTGTACCCTGACATTCATTTGGAAATAGGTGAGAATCTTCAAAGGCTTTGTCTTCTGTTGCTGAGTCTGTAGAGGCTTTATAGCTGTGGCACGATCTTCTCAGCTGATGAATGATTGTTATTTTCTTTGATCTTTAATTAACCGATTAAGTTTAATTTAATAGTCAAAGTGCAGTCCAGTGCTGTGCAGGCAGAACACTGATGTGCTATCATGTGATCCACACAGGTGTTTCTTCTAATACTAGTTAAAGACCCTAAAACAACCCAGGTCTACCTACACCTTCATCATCTCTTATCGTTCCACAGCGATCTGTGACCACATTTAATTCCAACATAGCTCCACCCAATGTAAACCTAAATCCAGTCAGACCTTTACTAATGAGTGACCACATCTGTTTGGGTGTGCCAGGTCTTAATTTCTGCCTTTGACTCACCTGTTAATACATCTTTGGGTTGTCAATCCTTCTGATTCTCGTGACCGCAATGTCTTTAGATAGCCTCTGCGTAATTTATTCTAGTTTGGCCGTGCATTCACTGGGGCTTAACAATGAACTGATTAGATTTGACTCCTCAGATGTCACTGTAACCTCACAGAATACTCATAACTCAAGAATTCATGTGCTCATTATGACGCATGAATGTCTAATCACGAAATTGTGATTTTTAGGATTTGATGTCCAACAGGTGAACTTAACTGTTTCATCATAATGTTCTTTGATTATTGCGAGAACTCAGGAACAGAAGGGGACACTGTGACCATGTTTCACATTTAGTCAAATTAGGGACACCAATCTCAGTCCCCAGCTTGAACCTGTGGTAATCTTTGTACAGTCAGGTTGAAGAAGTGTGTGAAGCATCAACACTTCAGTATTTGTACCT